GTTGATTAGGGGCGGGTCGATGCAGCCTGGGACCTCGTGCACGCTGATGTTGCAGCCGCTGCCGCCTTCTAGGAACGGGAGATCGTGGTTGTGGGTGAGGAGCTCGGCGTCGACAGAGATGGCGCTGACGAGATTGTGCTCGTAAGAGGGGACGGGGAAGCTTTTGCAGCTGTCCAAGGTGATATCTTGGGATGGGCCGGATTCTTGGTAGTCTTCGTATGTGTCCAGCTTGCTGAATGTCTCGCCAGGGCAGTTTGGGTAGAAGTGTGTCCAGACGCGAGCGATGCTTTGGGCGTGGACTGCGCCTGATAGTAGGGATAGGGAGATGAATGAGGTGGCGAGGGAATGCATGGTTGCTGGGATTTTAATATCAGTGAAGTTATAGTTCGATGATCAAATTGAACTGTGTGATTGCAAAGCGTAGACAGCAAGATGCGCATCTACTGCTCTTATGTACCTAGTGCGCCCTATCAAATTCTTCATTCTACGATTGTACCGCGATAATGGGATGGCGGGGAAGAATGGCTATGATGCTGAACATGAAACGTATGTAAAATTCAAATGGAACTTCTGCGTCATACTCAGGGGCTGGCAAGTGTCAAAAAATCCCATGTTCTCTCAATCGGTTGTCTGATCGCACATTCCATTCCCGAAGGGTCCATATGATGTTGATCTAGGATCGTGTGTGGTATGTGGGCACTCCCTATACATTCCATTGAACGGCTGTTCGCCTCTAGAAAGGCTTGGAAATGCTTGGAAGCTATAAATACTGCCACATTATTCGTGCGTTCTATCTAGATAGATGACAGGTCAAAAATAATTGGTGACAATAATGTATGAGGCTGGCCGGTGATCATTCCGCGAGAATTTTATTGGCTCTGACAGCTTCGCTTGATATATTGTTGATGCTAGTAGTTTGATTCGCTCGCTGTTGACGTCGCGACTATGTCATTAAAAAACCAAGATCTCATGGTTACGAAGTGGCTTGATTCTATAGAGATTCTATATATGTACACGATAAATATGCGTCACTTAAGGAGACCTATCGCCAGATCTACCAAAAGCTGACAACTTGAGTTTTATTACAGACCCAATTTGAAACCACCCCAGCTAAGGGTGGAGAAAACTCCTGCAGGATCATAAGAAGACCTGATCTTTCTCATGCGAGCGACGTTCTCACTGGGGAAACCCGCATAAGGATCTTGCCACTCACCAGCATCACCCATGTAGATGAACTCAGAAGCAAGACCAAGCTCTTTGTTGATACCGTGAAGGTGCTCAACCAATTGACGAGCCCAAGCTTCCATGCGAATATCGTCCTGGGCTAAGTCCCAGCCGGTACTGAGTTGCCAAACTGTACAGTAATGATAAGCCTAAGAAGCGCAACCGAATCAAGTTTGGAAGGACTTACTAATAAGAGGTTCTTCTTCGAGACCCCAAACGTTACCAACACCGTTGGTCTTGGCCACGCGGATCGAAGTCGGGGAAATGGCATTCGTGACAAAAGTCGGGTAAAGACCCTCGACATCGGCAATCTTGTCGACTGCGGCTTTCCAAGCCTTGTAAATCGAATAAAGAACCTTCGAGTCGGGCTTCATGGTCTTGTGAGAGAATTGGATACTAAATAGTCAGTAAAGTGAAAATTGCAATACAGGCGAGATTACATACCGCATCATCTGCTTAGGGGAGTCAAGAGCCTCAACCCATGGCTTTATAGTAGTGACATTGTTAATTCTTTCGGTTGCTGGAATCTTGGTAAAGTTGGCGAACTGAGACGGGGGGCTGCTGACACCCTCCTGGACACCGAGGACAGAGCCCTGTGCCACCTTGGTGGTCGCATTGTAGGTGATAGTGGCGATCATGCCTGCCGCAATGGGATCTTCATCGTCCAGCTTAGCCGCCTCGCAGACAGCAGAGAGATAGTCGGGAATGTGTGTCTCGTTGAAAACTTGAATAGTTGTGCTGATCTTAGGAATATCGTAAGTCTTCAACTCGAACCGAGTCACGATTCCAAAGTTGTTTGCACCACCCTTCAAGGCCCAGAAGAGATCGCTGTGCAAAGTCTTGTTGACAGTAATTTGAGTTCCGTTTCCAAGAACGACATCGTATGTGACCACATTGTCCATGGCGTATCCGTACTTGTTGTTGAAGTAGTGGAAGCCACCGATAAGACTGAGTCCGGGAACACCAATGGTCTTCATACGGCCACCGATGCAGACACGGCCGTGAGGCTCAAGTGCTGAGTCCACCTCGTACCAATTGAGGCCGGGGCCAACCTCCACGGTGTTGCTCTTCACAGTGATAGAGTTCAGATTAGACAAAGCAATCAGAACTCCCGCATCGATGTTGTTCGCTCCAGGATACTGTTGTAGAGTAGAGAGTTAGTATTATTCCATAGTTTCTATTCGATAGAAGCTTACGTTCATGTGGCCTCCGCCACGAACAGCAAACTGCGCATCACAGGCACCGATGATTTTGACTGCTTGCGACACTTCAGCAGCAGTATTGGGCACGAAGACACACGCAGGAGAAAGATTCGCCCGGATATCCCAGTAGTTATCGACGGTCTGAGTCGTGTAGTTTGTCGCACCGGGGAGGATTATGCTTTTCGGCATAGACCGAGAAAGCTTCTCGCAAGCACACGAAGCTCCCTTGGGGACCTGAAGAGTACCAGAAGAAGTGGAGAGGAAGCCAGTTGCAGTCACCGAGGCGCTTGCGCTTGCGCTGCTCAAATTGGCATATGCAAGACCCGAAAGGGACAGCCCGACAAAGGGAAGGAGAAGCTGCATTTTGACTGTCGCAGAATCAAATCTGTGATTGATGCTTCTCAGATAATCGCAGGGGGCGGCCCCTTCTTGTAGTTTTGCAATTCTTCAGTTTTCTGCTTCCATGGTACGCGTGGCCAGGGTAGTTTCACTCCGGTCCACGGTGAGACTAATTCTTTTTGGTGTTCTCCATGATGATCACACGGGCTCGTTTTTGGATCAACGTTTTGGATCATCCCAATATGATCCACATGAGTTGAACAGAGCTATGTCTTATTCAGGCAGAACAATTGACATGTTAAACTTGGGATATAGATCTTGAGTAATCTTAAGTTTATCTTTTTCACCGAACAACACCTGCAGATGGCCAGGCTACATAATAATAATACGGACCCGAATACGAGAAATAAAGTTACGAATCCGAGGTTTTTCCAACCAATCAGAGACCGAGATTTACTCTTATTCGGACTTTCGGGTTCGGATCTTTGATCTTCAAACAGTTTCGAGATTGACATGTCTACAAGAATGACGAAGTAGGGAGCAAATTAATCGGCAGCCTAGAATATATAACTTCGTCCCAAGCCACAATCATGATATACACCCACAATAAGCTTCTAGAAACAAGGCTGTCTAAATCTTCTCGGATTCCAACCCAAGTATCTGAACCCAAAATAGATTTTCGGGCTTAGCAATAGATCTCGCAGAAAATTCACAGCAATGCAATTGTTATATAAATATGAAAGCGTCCGGCCGGCAATCAATACATCTTCATAGTCAACATTGCTTTTAGATTCGATTCTTACTTTTCAATTACGTCTTCTCCTTTACTCAATTCAAACCATAGCCATGGCCAACGAATCCACATACACTCTCTACAACTATAACCCGTCGGGAGTTGCAGCAATTATCTTTGTTGTTCTCTTCGGATTGACCACCCTGGTGCACATTTTCCAAATGATACGGAGTCGATCATGGTTCTTCATTCCTTTCATTATCGGAGGAATCTGTAAGTATATATCTTATTCAGGAACGAAGATGTAAAGCTAACTTGCTTATAGTTGAAGTTATCGGCTACATCGGTCGCTATCTTAACTCGCGAGAAAGCCCCAATTGGACAACACCCCCATATATCATGCAATCACTCTTGCTCCTTCTCGCACCAGCCTTCTTCGCCGCATCCATCTATATGGTCCTGGGCCGCTCAATCATCTCCACCGGCCATGAAAAGCTCTCTCTTATCCGAGTCAAATGGCTGACCAAAATATTTGTCTGTGGAGACGTTGTCTCCTTCCTCGCCCAGTGTGCTGGCGGCGGCTTCCTCTCTTCCGCAAAGACCCAGTCCAAGCTTGCTCTCGGACAAGACATCATCATCGCCGGTCTTTTTATCCAAATTGCCTTCTTTGGATTCTTCGTCGTGACTGCTGGTGTGTTCCACTACCGGCTTTGGAAAGCCCGTGATGGGGCTTCTATATCCGCCACCACGGTACCGTGGATGAAGTGCTTGTTTGTGCTATACACGGCTAGTCTGTTCATCATGATTCGGTCTATCTTCCGTGCCATTGAGTATATTACGGGTACAAATGGTCCGATCATGTCGACAGAGGTGTATTTGTATGTCTTTGATGCTGCTCTGATGTTCTTGACTATGGTCACCTTCAACATCTTCTCTCCGAAGACATTGGTGACTCCCCGATCGGCTACACGTGATATTGACTCTCAGACGAGTCACAAGGAAATGGTCGATATTAGAAGTGTGGCATGAGAAATGAACCTGAAACAAACTTTTAACCTTGGAACGGAAAAAGGTACCGTGGGAGGTTTTCTTTAGCTTAACGTTATTATGTGGGTCTGGATGGGGTTAGCGTCTTGGCATTTGACATAGATTTCTGTTTTGGATTACGAAAAACTCTTTCTTAAGACGTTCAAAAATACTAGTGATATCATGGTCGTATTCGTAGTCATCTTATAGTACAGTGAAGAATCTCTGTGGTTGGCAATAATATCACCGGCTGATATCTTAGTAAGTTAGCAAGCCTGCGATCAACGTAATGAACAATACTTGCAGAATAAAATCAACAGAAGTCAGATTAATTGATGATGACGGACTAATTACTGCCATATTCATGAAAACGAAGGGAGGCCTGAACGCTACAAAAGGGAACAAAGAGAGGTCTTTCAATTGCATGAGGACAGTCAAAGCCTCAAAGTATGCCTGAATGCATCACCAACCAATCATCAGGACCAGATCCAGAACCTTCTTTGTAGAAAAGATTGCCAAATAAACATGCCTCTCTGCATAAAAGCATGTAGGTATCTTCTCCAGGCCGGTTGGAAGCGGAGAGCTAACTCAGGTCCCAGCAAGCCTTTGCGAATCAATGCTTCACAGGCCTTTATCTCCTTTACAGAGTCAATGGGGATGTATTCTGGACTCAACACCATATCCTTTGTCTTGCGCTTGAAGTCGTACGCTACGAAGGCCATTGTAGGATAGACATTGTGCCAACAAGCAGAAATAAGCCCATCAAGAACCTCATTGCAATTAAGTTCTGGAAACTCCATGTTGGCAAATCGGTCAGGCCCTCCACTCTCAACCCACTCCCTGCTGTCGATGTCATCATATGGTTCATAGCCATATAACATGAGGTATAGAAGTGTCCCAACCGCAAACTGTTCAGTTCTGGCGGAACAAAGACCGTATGTGCCTTTCAACGGTCCAGCAAGTATTTTCATAGCCCGCGGAGCATGTAGATTTTCAAGCAGTTGTCCAATAGTGGTAGCACAACCAAAATCAGTTAGCTTCAAGTTCAAGTTACTGTCTAGAAGACAGTTGCCTGAATGCAGATCATTGTGACAGAAGCCTATTTTCTCCACATACTCAAGAGCGGAGGTGAGTTGTTGTATCCACCGAGCGACGAGAGCAGGATCCTCGTACTCCTTGACCCTGATAACTCGCCCTACCCAGCGATCTATTGTTGGCTCTCGCTCCTGGTGGTGAAATAAGCGAGTGCCGAGTGACCCATGCGTGCAATATGGTAGAAAAAGATAGTCGGGGAGCATGAGAAAGCATTCAACAATATCTGGACATCGATCTTGAAGCTTATTAAGACCCTTGAAGAACGCGATTTCCTTGATCAAAATGTGCTCCTCTAGGGTTGCCTTTTCTTCGGGGGTCAGGTCGGGATGAACAGTTTTCACCACAATAGTTGGCGCGACGTGGTAGATAATAGAGTAGATCCCCGCGCCAACCCGGTTATGCTTTCGGAGAGTATCGGCGTAATGGAAGGCCATGTCGAATCAAAACACATGTAATTCTAGTCGTACCCGTGCAGAGTTTCGGTAAATATATACGAAGTAATAACTGTTTGGGTGGAGTGGCGAGAAAATGGGTTTGTATAGGTATATGAGAAGCAGTTGGGAGGGATAGTAGGAGTGGAGAGAAGGGAAAAACGGGGAAATTGTCTGATTTATCCCTTAGCCTGGCCGGTAATGCAACTTAGCGCGATCTTTCTGCCACCAGTAAGACGTGAAATGTATACACCCAATGGGAAACTGTACCAAAATTACGGTTAAAATACATTAGCGGCGGATAGGGGTCGACTACATAAATCCACCCACGCTATGCCTTTTTCGTCCAGCTCAAGAAGTAGTATTTGAACTTGAGAAAAACATTTTCGGGAATTGATAACTACACTCCCCCCTAGGGAGTTGGTTAACTAACTAATGCAGTTGGGAGACCCGGAATAATCTGATAATTGCCTTGTTTTTCAGACACAGAGGAATCTCGGAGTCCTTTAACTATGCCAGATAGGATAGGACTCAGCGTACAGTACGAACACCTATGCACCACACACAGAATGAAAAGGGGTTTACAGGATGTTGTTGCATTAGGATATAAGAATGTCTATCTATGCTTGCTAGCTAACCTCCCTGGATGGTTGGTGTTGTTGTGTCGCTCTCGTCTTGTCTGCTAGGCCACACTGCCCATCGTGCATATCCCTCTTCACTAACTCACTATTGCTTAGCCTGAACTTCTTCTCATCTATCACCTTCCATGTGGTGTATTAAGGTACTGTAAACAATGGTGATAATGAAGAAACGAGGTACACGTACAAAACAAAACAATATCTTGACGTACAGGTAGGAAAGAATACAGCGTATTAGGCCATAGTTAATAGTGGGGCCATACCCGTAAGTCCCACTTCGTCCCATTAACTTGGTACACTCTATTCGCATCAAACTTTTTGTCTTTTATGCCTTGTAAACTGTCGTCACGTTTTCTTTTGTGTCATTTAGTACCCTTCGTGTGCCATTATGTTTTGTATCCCATCATTTATGCTTCTAATGCCATGGTAATATGAAAGATTCTACCTGAAATTAATTACATTTGACCCCTGGCCGCTCTGCGCCTTTGAAAGCCAACGAGGACTGCGATCTGGAACCGTGAATGGCACCCTATCCTATGACCAGAGCCGAGGTGAGATTGGGTGAAATATGTCTTTGAGCCACTTGGAACATTTTTCGGGGATGACTCGATGCATATAACTAGGCTTTGTTTTTGTCCATGATTTCCTTTGGAGTATCCGCGATGAATCCGTGTATATATATTCCATATGATAACTAGTTACACGTATCTGACTACGTGACTAAGAGAAAAGAAGTGATCAACAGAAGTCAGATTGATTGCTAATGATAGTATGCTACACTACTCCGTATATATAATGGTTTCTTCGGTGCCTTCGATGGCGCTGTACTTCATTATCTCAGAGCTTCAATTTTCAACTCAATTGTTGCAATATCTGTTCAAACATACAAATCATATTCATCGTCGCATCCACAGTAGTGATAATCATTAATGCTAAACAGAAGAGATCAACATGAACAACATCACTGATAATCAAAAAACAGTCGCTTAAAAAATCGGAAGAACATTCCCAACAAAATCCTTCAATCTTTGGAGGCAGAGAAAGGACCATGGTAATGTCTTCGTGGTCATGACAAAGGGAAGTAGTAGTGAGAAGTCATGTCTGCTTAGATCCATTCTCAGCACTATCATTTCCCCCATCCTCGACATAGGCAGCCTGATGGTCAGCCTCAGACCTAGCCTTGACACTAGTCTCCGTCTCCGTATTAGCGTCATCATCACCCCCGTGCTCAGCCGCTTCCATGGCCGCCCGCTGCAGACTCGCAGGCTTAGTTTTCTGAACCGACTTGCCCTTATCCCGACTCCTGTCAGGCAACGACTGCTCCGCCTCACTCTTCAGGTCAGCGGCAGACTCATCGCCAGCCTGGGACAGGCGGGAGCTCTGATTCAAGCTCCTTCTCGCGCGGGCACGTGCACGACGGATCATCTTGTTATGGTAATCTTCCTGTTCAAGCTCCGTATCCTCATGTAGGATGCGACGGGCAGCTTCGCGCCCAACAACGGGCAGTCGATCGACACCCTGGACTCCGTCTGGCAGCAGCTTGGGGTCCAAAAGCCCAACTTGAACGAGGACGCTGGCTTGGTCCCAGTACACGTGCTCGGAGTAAAGACGCCCCCCGCGCAGACTGACAATACTCACGAGGATGATCTCGACTCGCTTGTTTGTCGCCGGGACGCCCGGTAGCATCCATGGAACCTCCTGTGTGTGCTCGTAGCTGACGTACAGCTCGTCCACAATGCGGTCGGATCCTGTGGTACGAGATAGCAGTCGCAGGCGCATGGACGGGGGCAATTTGCCGATGAAGTAATGTTCATAGAAATGGCGCAAGGACTTTTTCCCGATGCCGCCGCTGATTGTCGGCGTGTAGGTGACACTGGGGGTTTTGTGTTGAACGTAACCATCCATGGTTTTCTTGACGTTCGACGAGAAAAACTTGGCTAACAAAGTATTAGCCCGCCATGGCTCAACGGTTTTGCGATTTAAACTTACCTTCCACATGTTGCTCATACCGCTGCTCGTAATCCGGATCCCTGGAATACCCCTTCCGCAGGACCTTCAAAGTCCGCGACCAAGCTAGCTCCGCCGACAGACGATCGTATTCCTCCAGATCTGTTTCCGCAAATCCGGGCACGGCATTATCATACGTAAACGCCGGGTACCCTAAATCCAAACGCTCTCCAGTCCCGATTCCAGCGTTGATGGGCCGTGTCTGGCGGCGTTTCTTCCCTTGCAAACCAAGTGCGACAGGCTGAACAAGTACGTCCACAGTCTCGCCCGCCAAGTGCACGAGGACCTGGAGTGAGAGTGGGAATCGAGATCGCGTATCAGGGATTAGACTGGGGTAATACGCGACCAGGGCGCAGAGTCGACTGGCGTTAATGGAATTGATATAGTACCCGAGACAGTAGTCCGCAGCGTCGCCGTAGGCTAGGAATCGGGTTGGTCAGTTTGTCACTCGGAGTTTATATGTTCAGAGAAGTTCTGTGCATACCGACCACGGCGTAGTTTTCGCCTACACCGAGTCCGTCCTTTACAGACTGCAACCGACGAGCGTAGTCTTTTCCTCCGCCGTTATAAGGGAGGTATAGGACGTCGAATCCTTCCTCCTGCCAGTTCTTGATGATCTCGATGTCGAAATCTTCGGTTTCGGCTGTGATGCATAGTCGCGCATTATTGTTGCCATTGTTGTAAAGAAACCCGCCGCTGCTCAGGCCAGGGGCACTAATCGATATGTTGGCCATGCTTTTGTTTGTGGGTTTCGAACGGATGCGCTGTTTGTTTGTTACGGCAAGTTGGCTTCTTGCAGATTGTTACCGTCTCAAATAGCAAGGACAAACGAGTCAGCCCAAGGACTATGCAAAATTCCAATCATGAAAAGTGGCCAGCCATGGCACATAGTTGACATATAACCTGTAGATGGGTCGCTAGGGCTACGTCATTGGCACATGCCCCAATACGTCATATCCGTCATCCGTCGACGACTGGAACATGGCATTTGTATATTAACTCTTGGCATCTACAGCATAGAATAATTTGAGAAGTTGTATTTCTTTTTTCCTTCTTCCATCTGGCCTTATTTAGATATCCCATGTGGGCTCAAACGCTGCAGATGAAGGTGATGTTCTTTTTTGCTCTTCAAATAACGAAGGCCGGTGTTTGTTGTTAGTTACGTGTGCCTTGTTCCTCTTTATGACCCATGGAACCGTTAATGCCATTGTAAGTGGCCACGGAGTACCATTGTTGTTGGGGCATTGATACAGCCACCCCCCTTTGGATATGACCACCCCCTGCTGCCTGATTCTGCCTGATTCTGCCTTATACCTCGGGCATTAATTTGTTCTAACGAGAAATGTTTATTGATTCCAAAATCGAGGGTCAGCCCTGGAATATGACATACTAGTGATCTGGATGGCCTGCGGCCGCCCAGATGTCGTTGCAGAGCAAAACGACTGATTTTCAAGCTATCACAAAAGATCTCCAAACAAGCACCGTTGGGACATGCCCGAGTGGCCCACGTGACTATATATTCACAGCCTATATTTATTCTGCCGGTTGGATTATTCTGCCAGAGTTGGCCGACTAATTCTTCACCGCATTGATTTCTAATGATTTTGGAGCCCCATAGGAAAAAGAACGGTCATGTGACATACACACACGAGGTTATGATTTAATTGCTTCGCTTCGCTCCGCAATTAGCCACTCTCTCCTTCAGCCAGGATTCTTGGCCACACCAGATTCCAGGCTGACATGCTTCGCATTCTAGCCCCCAAAGCCGTCCGCCTTACGCTAGCCAATGCAGGTAGGGGAGTGCGGTGAGATCGTCGTATTTTGACTCCGCCACGCGCATTTATGCGGAAATAAGCCTTCCTTTTGGGTTACTGCGCAGAGTGGGATGCGCGATTTCGTGTTTTGGCGCAGGTCATTGGTCGAAAGTTTTATTCTTTGCGGAAGTTTTGGGTTGCGGATACTGTGGTATTATAACTAGTGTTATTTGTTAATAAGGAGGCACGGCCTGACATGTTGGAGGGGGCTTTTTTTTTTTTTTCAACGTCGTCTACAAATCAATTTGAATTATTATTGAACATTAATTAACGCACCTTCATCCTAATCCTTTCTTCCAAAGCATTAAGTCATGCTCAGAGCCAGAAGAGCGGCCCGACAAGGAGCTCCTGCACAAGACCCTCGATACGCACAATCGGGTGGCCGATCTCGATACCGTGAACGAAGGCAGGGTTATCCTCCCGAACAGTACAGCCCAGGGCAAGACCAGTACGGACATCCCCAGCAGCAACAACACAGCCAAACTCAGCAGCATGGCGCGCCACAGCCGCAGTGGCCGGAAGAACTATACAATCCCAGGCAAATGTACGGCCCGCCGCAGCAGTATGTGGGACAGCAGCCACCTACACTTCCGCCGAGCGAACTCTACGCTCCCAACGAATTAGAAGCCCAGTATGCGAGACAGCAACCGCCGAGTGAACTCTACGCTGGCAACGAATTAGAAGCCCACCATGCGAGACAGCAACCGCCGAGTGAACTCTACGCTGGCAACGAATTAGAAGCCCAGTATGTGAGACAGCAACCATCTGCACTTCCGCCGAGCGAACTCTATGCTGGCAACGAATTAGTAGCCCAGCAAAGTCAACCCTACCCCCCAACACAGCTACTTCAGCTCCCACCCCAGCTTCCAAGCGTATCTCGGCCCTGTGTTATACCTCGTTAGTATAAAGCCTATCCGTGAATTAGTGGCCAAATCTAACCAATGTATCACTTTCCCAGAGATAACTCATAGAAGATTCAACGGCGAGAACATGAGCCCATTCGCTCGCGTCCGCGTACCAGAGCTAGAGCACCAAATCTCGTCCGATGAACTTATCGTTTTCATCGATGAACTAAACGAAGCGTTCCTAGCGAACCCAGCCCTTCAAGCCGCCAACAACGCCGCCAATGTCGGCGGCATGGCCCCCTCTATGATTGTGCAGATGGTCAGTATGGGTGTCAACGTGGTAGCTGGGGTCGGCTCATCAGTTACAACCAAGGTGCACACGAAAAAGTACCTAGCTAAGGCGAACGAGGAGCTCTTCCATCCCAAGGGCTTGCATGTCCAGATGTGCAAGACAGATAAGATGCTTGAATATGTTGGCTTGGGTGGTCAAGAAAATGTCTTCGTTCGTCAGCAGTACCAGGATGCGTCTGAAAGTAACAACCACCCTATTATGCAGCGCATGAGTTTGTTGGGAAATCGAGTTATGTCACTTTCCTTCAATAATGTTAAGGAACCAACAATGCCTGATGGATTTTGGAAGAAATGGGGTGCAAAAGAAGCTAGTAAGGTCGAACAGAAGCAGAATGAGAAGATGATAAAAGATCAGGCTAGGCAAGATCGGAGGTCAGGGAGGAGAGGAGGTCGGGGGACTTCTAGGAGACAGGAGAGGCAAGAAAAGAAGAAGACGAAGGAGGCTAATAAGATTTTGTGGATTGTAATTGCCGCAAAGGAGGAAAGTGCTGGAGGGGATGACGAGTGGGATTCGGAATCGGAGAGTTCGAGGAGTCACACTTGATTTGGGACTTTGGTTTGGTATTTGGTTTATTCTATTTGCTTGTTTATCACCTAATAGCGTTTGGTTGAGCATTTGGGAGTTATGATGTGCACTAGAGAGGATGAGCTAGAGTAAATAATCACTAGGTTGCAAATGTAGGCGAAGACATTTAGCGAATGCGTTAAAAAGTCTAGTTAAGGGATGAAAAATGTCTTCCAGCTTCGCCTTAAACAAAAGTCTCAAGTACGATCACATTGATAATCAGGGTCCTCAGGCAAGTCCACCCCCCAAAACTTCCGCATGCGCTCGCGGAACAACTCATAACATGACCCCATTCGTAAAATCTTCATCTGGTCAAAATCCATGATGAGAGAAGGTCGTCCATATACATGATAGCGTTGCAGACCATAATCGACAATCAAATCCGCCGCCTCTTTGAGTTCATCCTCAATATCTTCGACACGGAATTTCTGCCCGCCACCGGATACATTTGCACTAGAGCCTACCATGAGCTGGCCTGACGTAGCATTAAGTCTGCAAATCTCTCTCAGAAGTGAACTGCAGCTGATGAACATAGCGATAGTTCCATCCTTTGTGACCTTAGACAGGGTTTGTGGGGATAAAGCCTGAAGAAGATGATGATCGTTGCAGCATGGCGCAACAGCCATGAAGCTCATGTCTAGGTCTTCGACTAGCACACGTGTCATTTCAAACCGCCGATCGTCCAGGATGTGAAGTTCCCGGTGCAATTCATGTGTTCCATATAGACCCTGGGCGTGACCTGGCCGACGTCGCTTCGCGGCGAAGGCACGGTCAATGGCTTCCGCAGATGTGGCCATTAATCCGTAGCCCACTTCGGTCGGTAGAATAACCACACCTCCTGACTCGAGGACCTGGAAAACGCGTTGGGCATCTGCACGGACGTTGGGGAGATCTCCAGGGCCAGGAATTATTTTGTCTTTGAAGGGCTCCATGGTGTCGGCCAATCCGAGTTGAAGAATGGGTTTATCTTTGGGACGAAAAGGAGGAAATCAAGCTCATGCAAACAGAAAATAGATGTGCACACAGTCTCCTAAATATGTAAACGAGGTAAAGCGCAATTAGTTGCGCTTATGGACCATCCCCGCCCCCGCCATCTTCTAAAGCCAGCGCGCAATTAATTGCGCGCGCCGAATCAAATTCTACAATCTACAACGAAGGTGAACCGAAATTTTGGAAATATTACTCTAGATGTAAGAGAATGAGGGGAATCCCGCGTCAGTCGACTAGTTGAGCTACACAATGAGGTCATGTAGTCTAGAAAAGTGTCACAAAATTCGTAGTCTCTGCTGAGAAGCTATACCCAATGGAATGACCCAGCAGCTACTTGCGCTTGCTAGCATCAAAGCTCTTGTAAATTTCCTCGATATATGCCTCTGCATTCGCACTTCCGAGAGGTCGTAGCTCCATCTTGTTCATGACATATCCAATGGTCATCCGGCCGCGATCCATAACAACCATAGATCCTCCCCAACCTCCCCAGAAACAAATGCGATCATCTACAGGAATGCAGGTCATGCATTTGCCAGAGGGTAGGGCGACCCCAAGTGCAAAGCGCATATAAAGGAAAAGAATCGGATCCAACCCTTGATTTTGTTCCTTCATCATTGCATTGAGCGTCCCTCGTGCGAGGTACTGCTTACCATCGACGGTGCCATCAAGCGAAACTATAGAGCCAATGCGCGCAAGGGCACGCCATTTGAGAATCCGCCTATGGCTCCGTTCTCTGCCTTCCGAAATCCGGGGTCATTGGGACTATCAGGAATCATAGCAGAACCGACAAAAGCCCTAGCGAGGATGCTAGTTGGATCGAGGTCCAGTTTACCCATAGACTCAGGTGGAAACGGGATAATACCAGCAGCCCGAGAGAAGTTCTCTTCGGGCAGTCCAAGCTGGAAGTCGGCACCTAGAGGCTTCGCAATCTCTTCGGCGATGAACTGAGTTAGGGGCTTTCCCGAGATGCGTCGTATAACCTCGCCAACCAAATGACCGTGGTTTGTGATTTGATATGCGCTCTGCGAGCCGGGTGTAAACCAAGGAGCTTGCCCTGCGAGTCTTTGGGTGGATGTTTTCACATCTACCATTTCTGCGGCGGTGATCGGTCCCTCCCAGGCAGGTACTCCGGAAGAGTGACTTAGGAGATGCGAGACGTTGACATCCTCTTTGCCATTGGCCCCGAATTCTGGCCAATAGGTGGCCACTTTCTCGTCAATATCCAGTAGGCCCCGATCAACGAGGATATGGGCCGCTAAACAGGTAACTACTTTCGTAGAGGACCAAACTCCAGTGATAGTGTCTTTCTCCCATGGCTTGATCTGGTCCGCATCTGCATGGCCACAGATATTCACGACATTCTGCCCGTCGATATTCACACAGATGGAAGCGCCTATTTCGCATCCTTCGGAAAGCTTCTGCTGAAGAAGATCACGGACGGACTGAAAGGTTGGGTCGCAGAACCCGTAGACTTCAACCATGGTGATGGGGGTTTGGGGGTGGAAAGTAGCTAAATCGATAAGATGATGAAGAGGAAAGAACGATCAAATAATTCAGGAAAGCTATGTCAACACGAGTACCAAGGTATAAATACGTGACCATCTACGCTACGAGTAGGGGCAAAAAGATAGTGAAGGAAGCCACGAGGGACCGGGCCAGAGGCTCTGCCGATCGCGATGCCCCACTCTTCTAAAAGTCTTGGCGTTACTGTATTCCCCTTTTGGGCTTAGCTTTGCATTTTAGCCCCTAAACTCTCCACCTAAGGCTAAAAGTACGGTGGATCGTCGTGATTTAGCTCCGCCACGCGCAATTATGCGGAAATAAGGCTGATAGTTAAACGATCCTGTTGTAACTATCAGTTACTGTTGTGAGAAAGCCTAATGCTTTAGCCAAGCGTAAATAGAAGGCATTTCTGCCAGTAATTCACAATTCACAAAGCACCAAGTGCCATCAGCAGTTATCGTGGATGTGCATTTATATTCATCGTGCATAAAATCTAGTCTAGATCGCCTGTAACTTCACTGGGATATAAAACGTGAAAACTCATGCTCCCTCGGCAGTATCATATTGGGTCTCATATCTTGTCATCTCCTCCTCCTTCTGGGCTTGCTCCTTCATCTGCGCCCTTTGTAGAGCCCGAGCTTTGGAGATCATTCTATGAGCGGATATGACATCCATGAGCAAGCCCAGCGGGTTCAAGTAAGTGGCCCATGCGTGCAGTCCCATCCAGCCACCCTGGTAGCGTTTCTGGAATCCACTCGTCAACATCTCCTCGTCGCCATCGGAATCGATGGCCTGGTACTCTTGAGGCCGCAGGGTCACGGTGCGAGACGCGTTGGAAATTTCGTAAGGCTTTGTCCGGTAAGCATAAAGGACGAATAAGCATAGCGGGACCATCTGTACGCAGATGATCATCTCTGGTAGGCCTATCATGACGTCGACGTAGGTCAATGTTTCGTTGTTGTGGAGGACATTGGCGCTCTCCAAGATGAGGAAAATGATCTTTTCCAATATGACCAGTCCGACAATCAGCTTGAATGCCAGCAACTTGGTGAGTGGGTGGTGCTCTTTCATATGTTCCTTCATGTTCATGTAGAATTGAATGATGGCGTTGACGGCCACTGATGTTGACAGAGATGTGGCAGCTGTGATCTATCATCTATGTTAGTCTCTCTTTACCGTATATTGGGACGTATTGGAAGGGTAAATCCATACCCAAACATGAGCGAAGTGGGGTGATTTGCTTGAAAGGCAGTACCTGTGCAGCAACTGGGTCACCAGCTGTGCGACAGCTGTAATGCAGGTGATGATTGGATATTGAAGGACAGACCACCAGGTCAACTAAAGGGAAGATTCGGTCAGACATTCGATAGTGTGCGTTTCAATGGTCAGGGTACTTACACTAAAGAACGCAAGACCGTTTCTCTTCTTCTTTGGTTGCCACTGTCTCTTCGTCTCAAGCGAAGAGAAGAATTCCACCTTACCCCGGTCCGTGGGGGCCAAAAACTCGCAGAGTAACATCAGAAAGGTGTATAGAGCAATACCCTGGAATACCTCGGTGAAGCCTTGTAGATAGATATAGGAGTTTGGAACGCAGATCGAGATGAAGGACAGGACTTGGTAGGAGGGAATCATGTTGACGATTCGCATTATCCTGTATATGCTTTTAGTATCGCAAGGCTACCTCGACCTTACTGGTGCACTTACTTGATTTGTTCTTCGGGGTTACTCATGCGCATCGCATGGCGTCCCATAAGACCGAAAGTCAAAAACAGCACTATGATAGTGCAGGCACCGGAAACAATCATGTTGAAGTGGTAGAATGAGAGATTCCCCACAAACGGTCCGCCACCAACTATTCAAAACGTTAGTTGGCGTATTAATCCATGCGTAGCAATTATCGCTCACCATTTTCAATGTGATCAGGTATAGAGCAGCCATAGCTCCCAGCGGCCGCTTGTCTCGGATTTAAAGGACCCATTTTGAAGAGCGCTGAAGCCGACAAAAGTAGATATAAGGATTCGTGAAAAGACGAAATGAAATGGATTGCGAAAAGAAAAGGAAACCCCCGAGTCACCCACCTTTTATCTATCTCCGTAAACCCAAAATCTTACTCAAAATCTTACATGTCTAGGGCGCACTGCCGATCCCTCTGAAAAGTCTTGTATTTTTTGGGCCTTAATTCAGCCCCAGACTTTGCATTGCTTAGCCCCAATCCCCAAAGTCTGTAGGCCCCAGTGCTAGCCAATAATGGTCAGGAGTGCGAAGATCGTCATTCAAATTTCTCTGCTGCGTGCATGCGCATTTCTGTATCTGCAGAGCGGAATTTTCTGTCCGGAAATAAATGCTTAGTTACTGCATAGCCTTCCTATCTAAAGCGTGGACTGCTTCGTTCTCCGGAGAGAGGGCTTTTCCAATAACTCACTAAACTACTCCTATCGTCACAAGAATTATATATGTATACCAATGCAGGACATATCCCCCGATAAATATAGACACTCGGGCTTTCTTTATCGGCCCGTACGCGAAACAAGTCGAGTCCTGATTAGGACAAGTGGTAATTTATTGGCCACTTATAGGTAGTTAAAATTTCCAGCTAGCTAGATATGGCCTAGCGTTGTCTCGGGTACAGGCCGAGAAACAAAGTGTGAACTGTATGCGTAGGGTATAAACCTCATTTTATCATGCCGTGGCTGGCTTCGTAAATGACACTGTATATCGCACATATCGCAGTCATCGCGTTGCTTTGTCTGCGGCCAGGGCGCTGATCCGAATGACGAGGTGGAGCCAACACCCGACGATCATTCATCGGAGGATAAATTTGCGCGATAAATTTGCGCACTCAGTCTACAAATGAAATTTGCGATATATGAGACTCGACTGAAATAAGCCTTGCTGTAATTCCGTTGACATAGTATTGGGTATTGAGAATTTGCGAAGCACTGCCACAATGTCCATGGAATTCTGGTGCGGTACATTGATTCAATGATTCCGCTTCCGCTTACATCAATGTGAACAGAAGCCTGAAGGTCAAGCCACACACGGAAGGGTAAAGCAACCAATATATAATTGATATAAATAGGGCTGGTCGTTCTCTCGCTAGTAATCAGTAAAACATTCAACGAATATTCAATGAACATGCTTCTCAAAAGCCTCTTTCTCCTTGCTGGAGCCCAGTCCGTCTTTGCTAAATGCAAATGCGTATGTTATTCTATGATCATGGATCTGTATACTGCAAATTATCTAATCCAAGTTGAAATAGACACCAGCAGATGATTGCTGGCCATCAGCTTCGAAATGGAGTTCTCTCAACTCTACGGTGGAAGGAAAACTTCTTCAAAACCAGCCTCTCGCCAAAGCATGCTATCACGGCCCTGGATACAGCGCTAAAGAATGTCAACGCATTGCTTCAAATTGGAAAAATGAATTCTGGATCCCGGAATCTCCAATCGGATATAGCTATCCACTCGTTGATACGTGCCCCCCAATCAACGCTTCGGTAGCCGCGTATCCGTTGTGCGAGCTGGGAACTTCTCCCGCGTATACCATCAAGGCTACCAAGGCCGATGACGTCGCTGCTGGCATAAAGTTTGCCAAAGAGAACAACGTGCGACTCGTTATCAAGAATACTGGGCATGACATCTCACAGCGGTAAGGTGGACTTTTAATCTTTATATAAGTATCTTATGACTGACGATGAAAATCATGATAGATCGCAAGGATACGGCAGTTTGTCGATCTGGATAAAGCATATCAAAGGCGGGCTTCATTTTCATAAGACATTCAATTATTCGGAAGGAAACTGCCCATCTAATTGGACTGGAAGCGCGATCACTATCCAGGGTGGATATGTGTGGAAGGATGTCTACGGTTTCGCCTCTAAACACCGCCATGTCGTTGTTGGAGGAGGTGACCCTGTAAGTCCACATCAGTTTGAATTAAAACTCAAGCAATGCAATCTCACTAACACAACGCAAGACCGTCGGATGCATTGGCGGATTTCTTCAGGGCGCAGGTCATGGTTCCCTCAGCCACGAATTCGGACTAGCAACAGATCAAGTACTTGAATACAAAGTTGTCCTTGCATCAGGAGAGCTTGTAACGGCGAACGCATGTCAGAACTCCGATCTTTTTACTGCCCTCAGAGGAGGAGGGGGAGGTACATATGGAGTTGTCATATCAGCCACTGTCAAGACGTACCCTACTCGTCCAACCCTCTACCATGACCTGACTATTGCGGATTTGGGCCGTAATACCTCTGCAGTCTTACAGGCTACAGCCCGAATGGCCTCAAAATACCCTTCGATTGTTGATGAAGGGTTCGCCGGTACTGCTTTCCTCACCGGGAAGTATGGACCTTGGGTATACAGCGCTCCCTTTATCAAGTTCCTCGCGAATAATTCAATCGAAGCGATCAATCACGCAAAAGCTGTGATGAACCGAGAGATTATTGACGATTTGCTTCCTGGAAATGGAACTGATTACCTGGTATCATCCAAATGGTCGACTCATCCTTCGTGGGCCGCGTGGTATGCATCGACGCACCACACGTCCGCAGGCAATAATCAACCACTCATGGCATCGAGATTCTTCGCCAAAGAGTCTTTATCTGGCAAAGAGCAAGAGCTGTTTGATTTGCTTCAAATTTTGACCACCGAGGTCGGTGAAGGGGTCCATACCACAAGCAACACTGTGCTCCTGAATATCGTTGCCGGTGGAAAAGTCCTCAACAGTGTGCCATATACCTCTGTGAATCCAGCCTGGAGGAAAGCCTATCTCCTGTTACAAGGAATAGATATGTGGCCGGCAAATGCGGGCTCGGAGGAGATTCAAAAGGTCAAGGAGGAACTCACTAAAAGGAAGTTAGCAGCCATGAAAAATCTGGCTCCTGCAACGGGAACTTATCTGAATGAGGCCGACCCGTATGATCCGGACTGGAAGAAGGACTGGTTCGGCGATCGATATGACCAACTTCTGTCGATCAAGAAGAAGTACGACCCAGAGGATGTGTTTTGGTGCTGGCGATGCGTGGGCAATGAGGGCTGGGAAGAGGTGACGGGCGGCGCATTGTTTGGACCTTTGTGTCAAGCGAACTAACAATCATCTGTACTACTGTGTTGAGTATTGTCATTATGTCTTCATTCCTTTCCCTTCTTGCTCTCTTAATACACTTTGCTTTAGAGGCAACCCCTATATTCTGCACCCGTAGAGTTATATACATTGTCCAATAAATGCTTTAACACGAACCAAAATCAAAATTCAGGTCATTGTATAACATATTTTCATCAAAATCCATTATCGTGGACCAGTCAAAAGCGAAATCTTCAGCGCTGAAAGAATTCGGTATTGGCTCAGTAGACCACAAATCCCCCGAATCTAGGGAATTATCTTCAGAAGTACTCATGCTTGGCCCTTCTACTGAGCTATCAGACACAGTAAGCGGTACCGGGCCAGCTTCTCCAAGATCGCTTTCTTTTTTCAGATCTCTCATGATATCAATGAATGCCATCATGACTTTAGTGCTAGCGGCAAACACGCAACCGCCAGCAAAAGCAGCTTCGATCGATTTTCCAGGCGAGGCAACCATGTTACCAAGTCTTTTAGCACACTCTGCAAGAACCAAGACTTGGTGGTCGGCATTTTCTCTCATCTTTCCAGTTAAGTTCTTGACATTGATGCTGTTATTCTCCACGATGGATCTGGAAAAGGCGAGTATATCGAGAACGATATCCCGGAACGGAGCTTGAAACTGTATGCCATCAAGTTTTAAATCTGTGCACTTGATGAACATTTCAAGCACTGCGAGTAGCCGATCGGGGAAGGGACGCCCAAAGCGTGAGATGAATGTCACAATTTGAACGCCGAGATCATCAGAAGTATTGCTCATAGCATCCGAGAGTTTGGCGCCCATTTGACTAGCTTCCTGGATGTTTATATCGGAATCACTTGAGAAGTTGCTGTTTGAGGCTCTGGACCGAAGAATCATGATGTGAAGAAGCGCAATTCCATATGATCGTCCGATTACTGCATGGAATCGATATTCCAGCAAAGAGTGAGCAGCCCTTACCTCCCCAGGCGACCCTGACTGAGTCGTATTTGACAGTGCCCAGTCACAGAATCTGATCTGCTCAAGGCACTTTTGTTCAGTCTCGTCGACAACATGACATAGTCTTTGTGGATTGGTCCAGTTCTGTTTTGTTGCTTTCAAAGATTCTAGAAGCATGTAGCTCGCTGTGGCCCACTGTATTTGAAAAATAATCCTTGGTGAGCAAGGACGATGCCTGAAGACAAATTGATAAACGTGGATATGGGGTGCCATGCGATCCAGCGCTTCTTGCAGTTGATGGACTGGTCTTGACAATAGTCCATCTAGAATGATATCCTGGGTGAAGATTTTCATTCCTTGCAAAGAATCTGTAATTCGATGTTCAAATTCCTCATCACTCATGGATGGTATATCTGCAAAGCTTAGATTGAGTTGCGAAGGTAGCATCTCTAATTTTTCAGCGACTTTGAAAGCTATATTGAGATATAGGGTCGACTTGATCGCTCTGTATGCAGTATGTTGAGATACTCCCACAGTGGTTGGCCTGTAATCAGCCAAGATAATACAGACAACAACAGAGTCGCAGTGAGTGGGAGGGGAAAAGATAAACTCTTGCCCATAGGATGAAATAGCCAGCTGAAGGTTCCACTTCAAACGTGGATGAAGCCGGTCAAATTTGCCTGTTATATCGCATGAGATCAGACAAAGCAATGCGAAGAGCAAATTGGTGCCAATATTGAGTTCGTCGTTTCCCTTGAGACGGTCTCTTATGTCTACTAAGCTTGGCAGACCGGGAATAAAAAACCTATACCAAGCGAGGCTTAAAATACGACATATGTTAGACAAGCAGTCAAGATATCCCAAGGTAACGGCAGGTGCTTACTCCTTGTCGAGACTGCTCGCTATTTCGTGGCTCACCAGCTCTGGGAGAGGAGTCATGCAGCCTGAAGTACTCCGAGGAATTGTAGCACCGAATATTCGGTCTTTGCCTAAGGCCGAGGCAAAAAAGTGTTGAAATTCAATGACAGACTCAAACACTGTCTTGTCAGCCACGGCACGTATTTCTTGAGTGGTTTCTGGACTCGTCGTCGACTCTGAGGGCGAGAAAACCTTAGAGTTGCCCGGTTGTTCATTTTGCGTAGCTGAATGACAGTGGGCAGAATTTGACTTCCGACCTGACTCATTTTCACCGCGCTTGAAGGATGGACGACCCAAAGTCGAACGCTCAATAACGCATCCAAGACCGAGGCTGCGGCAACGTTCGCAGGACTTTTCCGGGGTTTGCGGAGAGCCAAGAGGACCCAGCTCGTTTATATCTGGCAGATTGCATTTGATTTTCCTGGACCTGCATCCTTGACAAAGCAAGCGAGCATATCGGCCCCTGGTTCCACGTTCGGATTTGGAGTTGGACATGTCAGCTTCACGATTGCAGTCGGGAAGCTGTTGAGCAACTAGTAGAGACTATTCAACCATGAAGCACTAGGACTCCGCCAAAGAAGAAATAAAAATGGGGCGCCTATGTTCTTCTGTGCGGGGAAGCTGAGTGGCGAAGTCCTCAACTCTCTTGTCAGTTCGGCCCCCACGTCGATTTGTCAGGAGTGACGATCATCGCGATCGAATCAGATTGGATTCAACTTGGTGTCAGACAGGAACAAATACTTCGTACTTCATTGGATATTGGCAACCGATCAGTCTATCAATGGGACATAGGCTAGGCTAGTGACAGGTTTTTAGAGCTTACTACTTACCAAAGTAGTAGACGAATCCCTGGAGTTGTGGTGACGAGGCAGTGACTCTTTATTTGGTATATCGACAATGAAATCGAAGAAAGTTCTTAAGCTCTTTCGATGCATTGCATTCCTGTATGTTTCGATGACCGCCACGCCACACTTTTGTTAATAGAAGAAAAAGAGCGTGTGGATAGCGTGAAGTGTTGTATTGGCGAAAGAATAAGCTACAAGCAAGAAGGAGCCAAGACTCTTAGCTCGGCGCCGAACCGAAGTTCGTACTATGTTATTCGGCGCCGAACCCAGCTTCACCCCCGAGATCATAAACTACATTCAATTATTTATAAGTCTGTCCTTTTCCATTCATATATGTTAATTTAGATCAATCGCAAAGATACCCTTGCTTCCTATTCAACCACTCTTGTATTGTACAATGACTCGATCGATAGAAGAGCAGCTCGACCAGGAAGCTACGACCGAGAAGCCTTCCGAGGTCAAGAAAGATGAGACTCAATTACCAACGGGAACCCGGCTGCTAGCTATTATTATTTCTATTCTGTTCGCTATGTTTTTGGTTGCCTTGGTATGATTGTTACATTCCCTATCGCCCATGTGGATGTATGCTAACAAGACTTTGAACACTATAGGATCGCACCATCATTGCTACAGCAGTTCCTCGAATTGCAAACCAGTTCAATTCTCTAGACGACCTCAGTTGGTATGCGAGTGCATATCTGCTGACAAGTTGCGCCACACAGCTATCCTGGGGCAAGGTGTACACCTTCTATTCGACCAAGACCATCTTCCTAATCGCGATCCTCATTTTTGAGGTCGGATCGGCGGTCTGTGGTGGCGCCCCTAACTCTGATGCCTTCATTGTCGGACGCGCGATAGCCGGGATTGGATCGGCAGGCATATTTTCCGGCGCGACGGTGATAATCGCACAGATCGTGCCGCTGGCCAAAAGGCCCATGTACGTTGGGCTGATGGGGTCGACTTTTGGTATTTCGTCAATCGTCGGACCACTTATGGGTGGTGCGTTCACAGACAACGTAACATGGCGTTGGTGCTTCTACATCAACCTGCCCATCGGTGGTTTCACCATGGTCATCTTGTTCCTTTTCCTGGCTGTCCCCCACAAACCGCAACCGTGTACCTGGAAGCAACAAATCCACCGCCTCGATCCCCTGGGCAGCGTGCTATTCCTGCCCTCTGTCATTTGCTTCCTGCTCGCCCTGCAGTGGGGTGGCATAACCTATCTCTGGAGCAACGGGCGCATCATCGCGCTGTTTGTCATCTCAGGAACCCTGATGATCGCCTTTGTCGGCGTGCAGATCCGGCTCAAGAAAGACGCAACAGTGCCGCCTCACATCTTAAACCAGCGGAGCATCATCAGCGGGGTCGTCTTTTCCCTGTGTGTCGGTGGAGGACTAATCTCTATGCTGTACACGCTCCCACTCTGGTTCCAAGGCGTGCGCGGCACATCAGCTGTGAAATCCGGCGTCGACACGATTCCCATGGTGCTGGCGCTTGTTGTTGGAGCCATCGTCTCCGGCTCAATCATCACCGCAACGGGATACTACGTCCCGTGGATGTTTGTTGCGGCGGTGTTCATGTCGACGGGCGCAGGGTTGATGACGACCTTCAAGGTGGACACCAACCACGCCGCCTGGATTGGGTACCAGGTGTTGTTTGGTATCGGGATCGGCACGGGAATGCAGCAGCCCTCCATGGCGGCGCAGACTATTCTCCCTATGGATGAGGTCGCCATTGGTGTCTCGCTCATGTTTTTCGCGCAGTCTCTCGGTGGAGCTGTCTTTATTGCTGTCGCTCAGTCGCTCTTCCAGAATTACCTCAGTGCAAACCTACCCCACATTCAGGGGATTGATGTGACTAAGATCATGGCGGCTGGGGCGACAGGTCTCGCGAATGCTGTCCCGGCTACCAAGTTGAGCGAGGTTTTGGTGTTATACAATGATGGCCTCCAGCGGTCGTTCATTGTCGCCGTGGCGGTGTCCTGTCTGATGATTGTCCCCGCGCTGACGATGGAATGGAGGTCAATCAAGAAGGAGAAATCGTCTGCCACGGCTGCTTAAGAAGGAGTACTATTTTAAGTGAGTATATTATGTAGATGTTAGTCCCTGAGGTAAGAGGTAGGAATACAATACTTTAATTATAAAGTCAAGATGACCCATGGATGCCCTCACCTTAATTTGACCTGGACATCCTTTGTGATTGGACGAAATTGACGACAGTGGCAATTTAGGCAAATTCCTGAGCGAATCAGAGCTGACAAACAGCTACCTTGTCTCAATGTCCATATTTCCACAGTGTAATGAGCTTGAGAATGTAGTTCTAGTATGCTTCAAGTGTAAAGAGGAAAAATCAGAGGTGTCAGGAAAAGGGAAAGAACCAAGTTTTGCCGATCAAACCAACTTTTCCTCCACAACACCCCGTCTGTTCAACACAGAGCAATGTCACTGGTGCAGCATGTTTCTGCTATTGACGGTATTGATCGCGAACTTGAACCAGACCTAGTTGACGACTGCGATTTCGTTCCCATTCGCCGGAAAATCAGCTACGATGTCATCCAGCCTCCGAGCGACGCGATCCCGGTCGCAGAAACGCGCCCTGGAACACCAGCGTACAAACATTCCACCACAAAGAGAATTGGTATGTCCTCTTCAGCCCAGTGTAAGACAAACAGCTAAAAAAATCCAGCCCAGGTTGCTGTCACCGTGATCGCGTGTTGGAGTGCGTCGGGAATCGTTTTTGGCTTCGCGGCGCTCAAGCCTGTCCTCGTCGAGGAAGGCGTATACCATGAGCGTTGCACTCCTGCTGAAAGGGATGAAGGGCTTGAGCTGTGCGCGCAGCAGGACCTTGGGTATGCTTGTTGCACAGTGTTGCACAGACTCCCGGATATGTGCTTGCCACTAATCAAATGCTAGACTCAACCTGTTCTTCACTATTGCTTCGATAACAGCAAATGTCTCCGCTCTGCCAGTTGGGACAGTTTTGGATCGATGCGGATCACGTATCTGCTGGTTCATTGCTTGCCTGCTTCTTGCCATCGGCGCTGTCATCATGGCCTTTGCGTTCCATGAACCCGGCTTCGATGGCTACATCGCGGGGAATTTCTTCCTCGCTCTGGCTGGTACCTTTTTATTTGTCCCCTCGTTCCAAATTGCAAATGCGTTCCCTAAATATGCAGGT